GGGAGGGCAATCTGACTGAGATGAAGGATTGAAATGTCATGAGATCAGAAATCAGAATAGACAATGTTTTATCAGCGACCGTTCATCCTTAGTTGCAAGCGTCGGTACAATTTGATTTGACTTTGACACTAGAGCAACATTGGAGCGGTGTCAAATCAAACGTCGAACATAATATGTTGGCTTATGAGTTACGTCGTTCCCAAAGTAATAAGGGATGAACTGATAAATATACTACATGAATGGCAGATTGCATTTGTTTTCTGCACAGGGAGGTTGAGGACACCTTTTTACCAGCTAAATTGTAACCCGCTGGAATTCAGTTTATCTACCCCCCCCCCCTCCCTGGAATTTCCTGGGAATTCATTGCCAGATACCCCTGGAAAATGGCTTTAATTGCAAACCATCCCCTGCCCTGGATTTCTGCAGTCTTTTTCACCCCTCCCCCTGGATTCTCCAAGGCCTTTTTTTACATCCCTCCCCTGGATTTTCCATTGTCCTCAACCCCCTGTGCAGAAAATAAATGCAATCTGCCAATATACATGACCTATTGTCCTATTAAGCACGCTGGGGGCTTATTTAATATGTCTAATATGGGTAAGGAGTTATTACAGAGGGGAAGGCTTGTTGATTTTACCGAAATGCAGCAAGTAATTGGCTGTTAGGCTAGCTTTCTTCAGATTTCCACCCACTTAAATTCATAAATATTATCAAACGTCAACATGTGTGCAATACTTTGTGTGAAATGGGAGGGGGTTTGTTAGAGAGGGGGTTTATTTGGGAGTGGAGTTATCGAGTTGTAATGGTATATTGTTTTGGGATATAAACCCAAAGACGTTGGCTTATACCCACATGATATCAAAGGAGATTTTCTTCACCTTTTTAGGTAGCCCGGCCAGGACTTCCCAAAACAGTAAACACGATCTGGAAAGATCATGAGGAGAATTCTGCAGAAAGTACCAGCAAAAATTACCAGCAAATGAATTTGAAGATTTAGGTGATGTTTCCACTTCAGCACAGCAGAACCTTTGGACTTCTGTCGTAGAAGGAATCACAGAACACAAGAAATTAATTGAATCAAAATAAATTAAGCTTCCTCAAAATTTCCTTTGCCACAGGGAAAGATTCCAAGTTGACCATGCAAGTACTAGCTAGGCAAAATATTTAAAGTATTTTATTCATAAAAGATTACTGCACCCTACACATATTAATTGCTTAGGTTAATGCTGTAAATATAATTGTTCAGGTAAATTATATGAAATACATTGGTCTAATATAATATATATTTTACTGACTTTCAAGTTTCATTTGGGTATGTTATGCATACTTGTTTATTTAAAAAGGGTATTTTATTTTTACTACTATATACTTGACAATTAATACAACTACATAATTATTTTTATTATCAAATTATATAAAATTCAAGCAGTGTTGACTGTCACTTTCCTGCAGATTTTCTGCCATAAGCATAAAATAAAGCTTTACAATCACACTCTTCTGAGTAATCTACCGGAATTGTTACAAATTTCTCAATTTGTATTCCTGCTTCTTTCATTGCTTCTTTCACCATTTTCTCAGTTAAGGGAAAGGTATAAAACTTTTCTTTGCTGACCAAATAAAACGACTGCTCCAGCACGCCGTTCATAAATAGGTAACCGTTCGGTTTGAGTAATTTGCAAAGTTCTGCGACAGTGTTCTTGTAGTGCACTTCAGACGACACACATGCCTCTAGACACAAACTGGTGGACACAACATCAAATGGTTTGGCAATATCATCACTGTCAAGTTGGACTATTGATGCTTTGGTCACATCACATGGTACAATGGACTTGATTTTTTGTTTCACTTCATTGGCATGATTTAGTACTCTGTCAAGCTTATCTTTTTCAGTTAAGGCCATAGGACATTTGGTGTTGTTGCCCTCACCCGTGCCACACCCCTGTTCAAGCTCTAGAACAGCAATTTCAATTAGAGCCGTCCAATCATGAGCCTCCGGGTCGCCAGCAATCCAAGACTTCACAGCTTGTCTGTTTGCTTCGGTATACTCAGCAAACACAATATAATCCACTTTTGGGCAGGCAAAGATAATGTTGGCTATACAAGGGCCACCACCAAACTCAAGATATCGAACTTCAGTGTCTGGTGATGCTGTAAAATTTGACCAAAACTCATGAAATGCTTTAATAAATGGCATCGCAGATCCATCCGTATCGTCTTCCACTTTAAATTTTTTATAAAACAGTTCAAGGTAGGTTTTTGGATCAAAATAGGTATGGTAATCTTCTGTGTATCTTAAGTTGGCCATTTTTGTATGAATTTTGAAATTGGAATCTCGTGATCTGTGACTCTGACATTGATTTTCTCTCAAATTTTCTCAGTTTTAATGATGTTTCCTCAAAAACAGGAATTTCGCATAGTTTTATCAATTTTTAAGGGAATTTGTAAGGATTTTTTCAGGAATTTTATACACAGTTAAAGATGGACTTTAATAAATAAAATAAAAATAAACCTCTGGAACCAGGGTAATAAATAAATTGATTATTAGGACTGATTTGATCAATGATTTGATATGGTAGTCGGTAGATCCGTAGTAGATGAGCAGAAATCAAAATTCAAGAACAGGGAGGTCATCTCAAAAATTTTTTTCGGACAAAACAAAAAATTTTCCGGAGATATCACATTTTTTCCTAAAAATGAAAAAATTTTTCCGCACATACCAATAATTTTTCCGGATATATCATATTTTTCCCGGAAATGGTAAAAATTCTCCGGACATAACATAATTTCAAGTTTTCAAAAGTGCCCTTTGGGCAAAAAATGCAATCTGAACGACATTTTTCACGCAACAAAAAGGGCACTTTGCTCCCGAAAAAAGGGCACTTTTGATAACTTGGGGGGCTGCCTGCCCCGTTCCCACCCCCCTTTTCAAGAAGAAAGGAATTTTGTAGTCTCCTTCGCAGGGGAGAGCGGCTGCGAAGGAGACTAGGAATTTTGCGGAAACCAAGGAATTTCAGGTCTCTTGGCAAGGAATTTGATCGTAGTATTGGCAGTATTCTGTGGTATTGGACTGAAACTTCAATGGCGGACTGATGGAGGCAAAGTATCATGTATTATTTCTTGTACTTCTCTTATTTTCTTCTAATTGTTTGTACATCCGTACAGTTTGGGGGCAAATCACGAAACCTAACATAGTGCTTATCACAGTGAATCAATTTGGTCTCAGTGACTTGAATAACAATTGGGAATATCTGAAAAATATCAGGAAACTTTCAAAAGATGCGATCCAGTTTAGCCATGCCTACACGCAGCTTTACCAGACCTCGTCAAGGGCTGCCTTACTCACCGGTCGTCTACCGGTCAAAACTGGAATGCTGAAGGGTAGGTTTCTTCCCTTTACTTCGCTGCCTTCGATTGCATCCTCGGGGGGCTTGCCATTAACTGAGCAAACTTTAGCTGAGTTTTTGAGGAGAAATGGTTACACAAACAAATTTATAGGTTTGTGGGATCAAGGTTTAGGGAGCAAAGGCAAATTTCTTCCGTTGAATCAAGGCTTCAATTCGTGGTTTGGTGTCGTAACGCAGCACAGCGAATCATGTTCGAGCCTACGGCAAAAATCTCACAAGACGTTTGTTAATGATGAGGCACTGTCAATTATTCTCTATTGTGTATTTTGGTCTCTTTTTCTCGTGGCTTCATTATGGTGTCTTTGCTTTCTTAAAGCAAAATTTATATCCTTGTTGGTTATTCTGGGTGTTGTCTTATATGCAACCAGTAATAGGACAACGTTTATCATGGTTCGAAGTTGTGTGCTCTATAAGGACCGTCACATAGTTGCCCAGCCATACGACGTTGAAAACATCACTTTGCGTTTTACTGATGAGGCCTTGGGCTTTATGAAAACTGCAGCACACCCCTTTTTTCTTATGGTTAACCACCTTGCGTTATCAAAGCCGTTATTTGCTTCTCCTTTCTTTAAAAATACTTCTGGAAAAAGTGACATGTTCTTGGATTCCCTCGCAGAGTTAGATTGGAGTGTTGGCAGTATTTTACAGTCAATTGAAAATTTAAATCTAACTGATGATACTGTTTTTATATTCACTGCACTTTCTGGAGGTATAAATTTTAATGATAATAGGCTGTGCAATAGTTCCTCGGACATGCAGGGGAATCAAGATGGTTGCCATGGTTACTCTTTGAGAGGTAGGAATTAACCCCCATGTATCCACAATTTTCATTATGACGAATTTTGCATGAGAATATACCTTTTCAGAAAGTACGTCACTGTGGTTATAGAGCCTCGTTTTCGTGATTGGAATGTTTGTGTTTGACCAATGTTACATTCATGCATGAAAGTGAGGCTCTGTAGCTAAAGTGTTGTAGATGAAGCATAGTTAATATAATGGGATAAAGCTACTACTACCCTGAGTTGCTCTAAACCAAAGATTGCTGCTTGAATCCCTCGCTGGTAAAGCATAATCTGATATATTTAATGTTATAAATGTCTTTAGCATTGAGCTATAGATATTTACAGTAAAATTACAAGGTTGGTGCATTAGCTAGGGTGCAATTCCACTTAAAGTGTTAAATTAAAGTTTTAATTGATATAGTGCAATTTGTTTACTCCTACATAAGGTAACTACAGCACCCCTGACAACTGGGGAAAACAAATACAAGTTCCACTGTTTATAAAATGGCCAAAGATGCTGCATTCTGGTGCAACAATAAATCAAACTGTCACACTGATGGATGTCATGCCTACAATATTACACCTGACCAACACAAGCTATTCTAATGAGACATTGAATGGTAAATCACTGGTTTGTCTTATTAAAGGGACTACAGAATCATTGCATTCATATGTATTTCATTATTTGGATGTCACTCGACCATCTGCTGTAACTCACAATGAGTATAAAGCGTTCTATAGTACCATGTCAGGTAATTGTGTAGTGGTTTTTGAATAAACATTGGCATTGTTTAAACTAGTGATGGATGATCTAGTCCATCCATTAGCTAGGTAATTCATCTATATTAGAGTAAATGTTCACGTTTGAGAGGTCTGCATATTAGAGAGGTGCTCATGTTAAAGAGGTTACCATATTGAGTCACTCCTCTTTTTGAGGAAATTTCTGCCATTTGGAGGAGAAGAGGAAAATTTACTTTTGATAATAGTAAAATGTACTTTTGATAATAGTATATCCAAAAGGAGTAGGAGGTTCCTTCCAATTTTCTCCATGGGAAAAGTGTGGTTGTTTTCTGGAATGACCCAGTAGAGAGGTGCCCATATTAGAGAGAGAACCATATTAGAGACATATCCATATTTGAGAAATGACCACATTTGAAAGGTGCCCATGTCAGAGAGGTTACCATATTAGAGAGGTGTCCATGTTAGAGAGTTTATCATATTAGAGTGGTGCATGTGTTAGAAAGGTGTCCACATTAGAGAGGTGCCCGCATTAGATAGTAATGATATTAGCGAGATGTACATATTTGAGATGTGTCCACATTAGGGAGGTGCCCCTGTTAGAGAGGTTACTGTATTAGAGAGGTGCTTGTGGTAGAGAAGTGTGAAGTGTCCACATCAGAGAGGTTCCTATATTAGAGAGGTGTTGACATTAGAGGTGCTCATGTTAAAGAGGTTGCCATATTAGGGAGGTTCCCCTGTTAGAGAGGTGCCTATATTAGAGAGATGCCTATATTAGAGAGGTGCCTATATTAGAGAGGTTAGCATATTAGAGAGATGCTTATATTAGGGAGGTGCCTATATTAGAGAGGTGCCTATATTAGAGAGATGCCTATATTAGAGAGGTGCCTATATTAGAGAGGTGCCTATATTAGAGAGGTGCCTATATTAGAGAGGTGCCTATATTAGAGAGGTGCCTATATTAGAGAGATGCCTATATTAGAGAGGTGCCTATGTTAGAGAGATGCCTATATTAGAGAGGTGCCTATATGAGAGAGGTGCCTATATTAGAGAGGTGCCTATATTAGAGAGGTGCCTATATTAGAGAGGTGCCTATATTAGAGAGGTGCCTATATTAGAGAGGTGCCTATGTTAGAGAGATGCCTATATTAGAGAGGTGCCTATATTAGAGAGGTTAGCATATTAGAGAGGTGCCTATATTAGAGAAGTGCCTATATTAGAGAGGTGCCTATATTAGAGAGGTGCCTATATTAGAGAGATTAGCATATTAGAGAGGTGTTCATAAGAAGAGCTTTGATAGGCCTTTCCCGATTGCGCTGGTAAAATCCTAAAAAAGTGCTGGCAAAAATGGCTAAAAAGTGCTCAAAATCTCAAAATAGTGCTAAAAAAGTGCTAAAATTGTGAACAGTTACCTCTAAGATTTTCGTAAATTTTTTAAAATCAGCATTTTTTAAAATCTGTTTCCACGTCTCTCTCCATATATGGAACAAACTTCCGTATATGGAGTTGTTTACGACAAAAAAAAGAGAACTCGAAAAAGTCAGCGTTCTAATTTTTCAACTGTAATGTCATATGCAGCTGTACGGCTTTTCTTTTGGAGTTATACCTAAATTATATATAAAATAATAGTATAATACCCGTCAATTTTTAAACCTTACTCCGAACTGTATGTTTAGTTAATCGAGGTACGAATCGAATTCTATAATCGCTAACTTTTTGTTGCTCAAAATTCGCTTGAAATGTGAAATATTGCTCAAAAGTTGCCCAAAGTGCGAAAAAGTGCTCAACGTTGCTCAACATGCAAAATGGTGCTCCAAACAAAAAAAAGTGCTCAAAAAGTGCTCAGCGCAATCGGGAAAGGCCTAAGCTTTGACTATTCTTTTTTAGATAATGGACTTGTGCATCATGACCCTCCACTACTATTCAACATACGAAATGACCCAGAAGAGACTTCCCCCCTCTCAGTTGAAGACTACAGCGAGCTGATGGCAAATATATCGGAAGCACGGGAAAAACATGTAGAAAACAGAACTCGCAAGTGGATATCACAGTTTGAATATCCAATATTACCCTGGCTATTTCCCTGTGCTGATTTTCCTTATTGCCACAGGAGAGATGTTGGCAAACTAAAACACATTGTATTTAATGACAGTATTTTGTTTAACTAGTATCATGTTTCTACATATGCATAATGTTTTTTTCAAAGGGACAACTTTCCAGAATTTGTCTGACTGCTCATGTGATAATGGTTTGAGGTCAAGTCTGACAGTACATGAGCTCCATTTACTTGAGAACAGATGAATACAGAACCATATATACTTGAACAGTCTAATTTGGACTGTTTGGCCTATTGCAACAAATTGCGGTTGCATGGGACACATAAGACCAGATGATTAGAGCACAGTACCCGGTAGCCATTTTAATGAACCATTAAGACGGGAAAATTAGCATACTATTCCCAGTTCGTCCGCTCTCGTATTCCGACTTCTTTTCCGGTTGATTCACTTTGGTAACCGGATTTAATACAAATTCTGGTATCTGGTTACAACTATTTTATCTACGGCTGTTCATCGTTAGATACAAATGACGGTAGCACGTGTAAATTTAGGTGCAAATGTAACATGAAGTATTGGTGAGAAAACCAACATGGACGCCAAGAAGGGGCGAAAACGTAAAGGAAAATCGAATTCTTTCGATCTAAAGCAACTTACAAAGGGACAAAAGAAACATCTGAAGGAATATGGAGAATTGCATCCTGTTGATCTGGAGTGAGTGATACTTTAAGCTTCGTATATTAAAGATATATTAATTAAAAATCTGCTTTTAATTGTGGAAATTCTACAAATAATTACACGTGTTTATTAATGGCATGCCTACGACTCACAATAATTTAGCACTGTGTAGAATTGCCTTCTTTATTAGCAGCTTTCTTATATTTTTACCATGGAATGGTCCAATCCGTGAATTAAAATTGTCGTGGATGAATATAAAACAGGATTTATTCTATAATATACACAGACAAGCTATGTATTACAGTAATTCTGTCAGATTAACATATCTCAGCTATCTGTAGCACATTGGGATCTGGTGTCAGACGAATACTCATGGCGGTTTTTAAGACCACTCAGATAGATCAACCAGGCCTTTGTTTTGCCACATTTTAGAGATAATGAACATGAAACACAGGCAACTACAATGAAAAAGCCAAAGAAGATTGAGAGAATTATTGATGATTCAATGAAAACGACCAAGGTTTTTTAATATTTCTTAAGGATTTATATTTTATACTTTGTAAAGAGGGTTAAGAAATATGCCATTTCTTATGGGATTATCAACAATAGATGATAAAGTGTTTCTGTTAGAGTAGAGAGATCTAGTGAGAACTATTTCTTTGGCCTGTTTTCCATTTGACAAAATGGCAACGTTTTTGAGCTAGAAGCTTAGCACGTGAAAAGTGATGTCGATGAAGGAAAAATGTCACTTTATGTGATTTGATTCACGAAGAGCATGACGGGCGTCAATGGCACACTCTTGCCACAGGAATAGCTGGAGTACCTGGAGAAAACCAGGGACAAACTGGAAGGATGCTCCCTTGTCACATGCAACTGAGGCAAATTTTTAGTTAGAAAAGTGTATATGCAGGAATTGAACCCTACAGTAGTTGAAAATGTGAAACACACATACTCTAGCCACAGTGTGTCGTGAACACCATCCTCAATGCACTGCTAACTTGATGTACTATATGATCGTTTGCAGGAAAAAGACCATACTAAAACGATCCATAAAGAGAAGTGTGTACAGGTATGTATCTCTCTGGGTAATGGAGCTAGTGTTTTGGTAGATCCCAATGTGGTAGATATAGGCTTCTTTAAGTTCTTATAGTACTGTTTTATTCAGCTGTTGTAATATTACATCCATTATTAAAGGAATAAGTACTGAATGGTTTTCTGTGCAGGATTGTGTGATCCATGCACAAGGGATGTCGTGAGACTTTCGGAAAGCATAAAAACACTCAAACCATTTGTAAAATCAGCATCATAAAGTAACTAGTTCCACAATTCAGTCATTTTATAAACTGAAATACCCTCTTAGTACTATAAATTGTAAACCTTCAGGATGTTAAGGACGATGATGAACTTGAAGAAATATCAGCTTACCAGAAGTTGGTCTCCTCCTTTATGAATGGTCAAGCCTTGAGCAAGAAAAAAATAACAAAAAAACTTACCAAGAAACTCAATCAAAACAACACCAACAATGTTGTTGAAAAGTCAACTAAAGACTCTATGATGGTTAGTCCATTGCTAATTACAGTTATTTATCATTTTACAGTTTTTAAAACTCAAATGTCACTCATTGTTTTTTTCCTGTTATTTGTTATTCATTGTTCCGCTTCCACCATTGATTATTTAGGAGAAAAATTTAGACATAAAAGATAACAAAGATAACGAAAAATTAGAAGAAGAGGTTTTGAATTTGAATGAAGGAAACGATTCAGATTCAGAGGATGAAATGAAACCATTGCAAGGAAGTATGTTTCTTTGCCACAGTTACACACTAGCAAATTAATTATTAGTGAGACAAACTATCTTTTTCCTTGGTGATGCTTATGCATCATCTTTCTCTAGTTTTGAAATCTGACCACTATCATCTGAATGCTGCTAAGATCTGAATTTATTCCATTTTAAGGGATGCAGCCTGAACCATTTTCCCAACATTTTGAAGTTGATCTTGAAGAAGATGTTATTGAAAGGCTGGGAAATAGGCCGTCAGTAAAACCAATAAAAGTAAGTGAAGTTTTACTGACAGTACTTATCAGCGGATAATGGCTTGTTTGGCTGGTTGCTAACAGGGGCCAGTTATGGTAAGCATTCCCTGTTTGTGGAATACTATTTAGAAAAAACTATCAATGACTGTTTTATATTTTTAGACTGCAGTTAAGAGTGGTACAGCGGTGCATTATCCATCATTGCCTGAGGCACAGTTGAAAGATTTTCCTGCTATGGACCCACAGTCAACTCTGGAAAGTTTATGGGTGCGTACAGTAAATAATAAATCGTAGGCAAGAAGGAGCTCATTGTGTATGTAATGTATCATACACTATTATAATGATTTAAGATGCTGAATGATTTAAAATGAATTATTAATAATGAATTGTATTTTTTCACATGTTTTAGGTGAAGCCCAAACTTGGTCAAAATTGGAATAACCTCAATCACGAGAACAGAGTAAATGGTAAGAAAAACTATCCTTTAAAGATGATTTCGACTCCGTTCTGCACACAGTGGCGGCGCCAAATGCCCCCCCAAAATTATTTTTGGCCCCCCCATTTTGCCCCCCCTCAAAAAAAATTATTAGTCACTAAAGGCTACACAAGTGTTCTGTCGTTATCGGAAAATGTATGGCTTATAAGTTGTCATTAGTCATTTGTGAATGCGCGTATACATGAAACTGTTTTTTACAGTTTCAATATTAGTTTGTAAATCTCTGAATGGTAAAACTTGCCAATACTCCAATAATATGTTTCAAAAAAAGACAAAAAAGCTTTAGTTTTGCAGAGTTAAATTCTCAAACGTGTAAGGCAATAATAAGATGAAAGTATCACGAAATTATTTGAATAAACCACATCGCATATATGGGGGGCGAATGTCCTAAAGAGGGACGATATTCCTAGGGTATTTGCCCCCCCCCCCTGGGAGGCGATATTCCTAGGATATTCGCCCCCGGGGGCGATATTCCTAGGAATATCATCACGTTTTGAGGGGGGGGGGCGAATTTCCTGGGGGGCGACCTTTTTAAAAATTCGATCTTGCCCCCCCAAAATTTGAGTTTGCCCCTCAAATGCCCCCCCCAAATTTGGAAGCCTGGCGCCGCCACTGTATTTTATATTGACTAAGATGTTATAATTTGGCTAAACGAATATTTTTATCATATTTAATTTATTTCAGCTCATTGCGATGTTTTCCCTGAATCACTCTGTTGTTGTAAGTAAAATTGAATTGGTCTTCGTATTTTTCTGTTTCTTTGTATGCTGTTTTTTTTCTCTACTTCAATATGCCATTAATAGGAAACTTTAATAAAGTTTGTCTTATTTATAAGTGAATCTTACTTCTTGTTGTGTCAATCTTGCACATAACGATCCGAGACCATTTCTCGCGTAATTACAAAATGAAAGCATGCGCCAATATTGATTTAATCTGTAGTAATTTCAGTAGGTTCAGAAATATTAGATTTTGTTTCCAAAGATACTATATTGATATTAATAATAGAATAATTCTAACTGGATACTATGTTAATATTTTTATCTATTATCTTTATGCATGGCATATTGTGGTTCTGAATTAAACCTTTTAATTCGTGTAATTATTGATTTTCACGAAAACATTATGCACATACCAAATACCCGCATTTACCTTTCCATCATACTTTTTCATTCTTTCAATAAGACCAGCCTAACAATGTTTTGATGGAACAAATGGACACAACCAGCGCGATGTTAACGTGGCCAGATTTGACAAATTGCAGTATTAATTCAACCATGCTGTCCGGCTTTGTTGTCAAGTATAGTTCAACAAATCTGAAAGACCTATGCCAAGAAGGATCGTTCACAACAAGTGTTGAGGTTAATATACATTATTCTATATTGTTATCTTTATTACATTCCCATGGCAGTAATTGAAAAAGAGCGTATTAGTGATCTAGTCAGATGTCATATAAATTAGAATACGTGCCCACATGAGTATAAGGGGAACAAATAATATTCCCCTTATACACCTGTACAGGTATTTCCCTTAAATATTCCCATTAATTTTTACTAAATATGTCCTACAGTTGCAAACTAAGCAAGACTTAACTCGAAAGGAAGAGCGATACTCCAATTTGAAAACAGAGAGAGGGGGTGTTTGGCGATAAAAATGTCTTCCGTGTGCAAAAAGTGGAGGAGATGAGTTGGCACCGTTTCGGTTCGAAATCAGGATTCTCGATTTACCGAGTCAAACACCAAAAGCACACAAAACATCCAGGGGTCTAGAGACATGCTCTTCCACAAAACGTTAAGATTTTTTTGAGACTTAGAAACGTTATTTCCCGCATTCAGATAGCCGGTTTATTCGTAAAATCAACTCATAAACAGTGACATAATGACTCATTTGATGGACTAGCCGTCTCTAAATTTTACTCTAAGCTAAAGAATTTGAAATATTTTTTGTCCAACAAGATCAAACACATAATAAAGAGCATTTGTGGTAATATTTGAGAAGCTGATTAACACTTCAGTTATTGGTTACTTGACATGTGCAACCACACCAGCATCCCATTTATTACCATATTGTAGGGAAAGAAGGGATACTCTCTTCGCTTGGTTAGTTCATAGTTAATAGAAATAAACATGGTTAGGAAGGCCGGTATACTTCAAAGGATTTCCTATTCAAACTTCAACTGATGTTGAAATGTAATTCTGAGTGCACACATCTTTTGTCTTGCGTTTATTAATATTCAAATGTTACGGTTCAGCGATTAAAACGAAGGTTTTTATTGGGTAATCGCCTCATTATGCAGAATCCGAGTGCACAAATTTCCATAAACTTGGACAACAACATAGAACAATGACTTTTTTCAAACTTCCAAACCATGTTTATTTTCTAATAACTATGGTTGGTTGGAATATAGCGAATGGTGTTAATTAAACTGTCAAAAAATTGAGAATCGAAATATTTTCGTTTCAAGCAGCTAGTAATAGAGTCCTCATTCATAAATTACATTCTGTTATATGCTATCTTTCCATGAACGTGAAGTTATTCTGTTTTAATTTTTTCATGAAAATTCTTACCCATTCATCAACTGATCGAGTCGGTTTACTCATAACTGTAGTTGTCGTATGTATTTGACATTTTACGCTAAGTTCCTTGCATATATCTTGGCGTATTATTCATTATACTGTGTCCTCGTTTTTTCATTGGCTAAAAGCCTACAAATAATTTTAGGTATTTCCGTATCCCTTATTATTGGACGGAGCCCGAGATATTTCAGCGGTGCTTTGTGCGAAAATACAAATTGGCAGGAAATTTTACTGATGAAAAGCTAATGAATTTAATGAATTTTTATTTTGTTTTTGATGTTACTGTGAGTGTATACCCACACCGTGCAGGCTGAAAAGTTAGCCTAAACACAGCGGAATGGAAACCGCGACCTTTGGAATATTAGTCCAATGCTCTGCCAACTGAGCTACGAGGCCAATTCTGTTCGAGTGTGTGGTATTTCGAAATTAATATGTTAGTGTGCGTTTTGATGTTATGTACTCAGGTAAAAATATTGTTTTTGATGTTTCTCTGAGGGTTAGCCTGACCACGTTGGGAATGGAACCCGCGACCATTGGGATACTAGTCCAGTTCGTTACTAGTTTCGTAGCTCAATTGGCAGAGTAGTATCCCAAAGGTCGCGGGTTTGATTCCCACCGTGGTCCGGTGTGAATATACACTCAGAGTATTAACATCAGAAACATTATATTCACCTGAGTACATAACATCAAAACACACACAAAATATTTAACAATTATACCATGAGTTCGAGTCGTATAGCTATCAGCCATATACGACGAGAGCGAATGGTATAATTGTTTTATAATATAATCTAAGAGCCATTAACTGAAGAAATAATTAATTATCCTCTGTTACAATGTCTTGACAATTTGCCGGGCTAAAAACTGCTTGGCCTTGAAAATTTGAAATACTTTTAACTTTTGTTTTACAACTCGAAGACGAAGTGAAAGATAAGGTTTTAGAACCGGTATATCTCACAGAAAAGGTCAGATATATTATACAGATGTTTGGTAGTATAGTAAGTGCTTGTTGACTGCAAATTCATTTGTCTTTCGTTGCGAACTTTTCTGAACAATCTATATTCTTAATGAACATGTTTTTTTCGCTGTTGTTTCGGTATTAATTCTTTAAAAAACTTGTATTTAAACTAATTTCTATGTAATAAATGTATTTTGCTAACCTGTCAAATTTATTTGAGAGTTTTTGCTTGCACTATTATCTTTCTCAAAGCGAATATTTTCTATTTTTCTGCTTCGCAAAACGCATGTAGTTTTTGGACCGCCATCTTGTCTTCCGCTACTCGCCGTATATGAGCTGATATACGGCGAGTAATTCAACCAATCAGATTGCAGAACAGCTCATATACGATGATTGACTATATTATAACATGAATTTTTCTTTGTTTTTAATTTATGTTTGTTTTATTTTTTATTGTCACAGAGTGAATAATAAAACAATTGTTGAATTCGGCTTATACGTAGGATATCAAGAATTATTCAAACCTCGGTCAATGCTATCTGATTCAGCCTTCATGCTCAGCCTCATCTAATAATTGTTATTATTATACATTATAGCATAGGCTGCCCAAAAGTGCGTGTTGAAATTTTTACCCTCGCGCGTGGCGCTCGGGCATGCATCGTGTCTACTCAGTTTATTATTATGACAAACCGAAAAACCGAAAGTAATTCGCTTTTTTAACAACCTTAGAATGAACTTTTGAATTTAAAACTTTGAGAGAATGTAGTAAAATTACCAGTGTTTGAAATGATGTAGATTTTATATTGTTTTTGTTTGTAATTTGCGAAATATTCGTCTAGTAAACGTTGTAATAAATTTCCGTTAAAACTCTTGCCAACCTTGTCATAATAATAAACTGAGTAGACACGATGCATGCCCAAGCGCCACGCGCGAGGGTAAAAATTTCAACACGCACTTTTGGGCAGCCTATGATTATAGTTGTTAAATCGCGCGCAATCACGCAAGTATAGCTAGCAGATAACTGAGTTATCTGAAAATAAGCCTCAGCCTGCGATGATTAACCAAGCAGATAACTGAGTTATTTGCAAATGAGCTTGCGATGATTAACAATATTTAACACAAACAAATGAATAATAAAACAATTATTGAATTCGATTTTTGCAATATGCAAAATTATCGAGGTTTCGGTAAGCATTATTAGCCTCGCCTTCGGCTCGGCTGATAACGCTTACCGCGACCTTGATAATTCTGTATATCGCAAAACCTCGTCCAATAATTGTTAAATAATTTTGCATGGTTAGCGGATAATTGATATGAAAAACTCTGCTTGGTTACAATTATTACTGGATTGAAGGTTTTGTACGTAGTTCAAACAGATCCCATCATGCATGTCTTAATTGTCTATATATTTATTCTTCATCTAGGATGCTCTAAATCAATCGCGCATAATCGTTCGCCAGCTTCGACCACTATGCCAGAATTACACTTTTCAGGTAAATAGTATAGATTTAGTTAACAATAATTTAATTATGCAAATACATTAAGACACCCGCCAACTCTATAGGGGGCTGACTACATGAAGCGATTTAATCCTGGGCTGAGTTTCAACACGACTACCTGGGCTGAAAATTTTGTCGATTGCATGGACATTTTCAATCTGATTCAGCCCGCGGGTAAATTTATCGCAGGCTTCGTGGGTAGTACGAAATCAACGCGCGAATTTTGATAGAAATACTACAACACGTGCGTATAAGGAGTTTCATCCCGGGCTGAAATGATTACATGGCGAGTTTTCAGCCCGGGTAGCTCGAACCGGGCTGAAATTTCAGCCCGGGCTGAAATTCTTGCCATGTAATCGCGCGCGGGATTTTATTGGAATATACCGTTTAAACGTTGGGCTGATACACAGCCCGGGCTGCAATCACTCCATGTAATCAGCCGCTAGGTCTGCATCCATCTTAGTCATAAAAACCTTTTACGGTAAAAGTGAATGCCTGAAACACGGCTATCCATGGTCTTGTCTAAAAGTACACACGAGTGACCACGAATGACCACAGATGACCACGAATGACTACGAGTGACCACGAATGACCACGAGTGACCACGAATAACCACGAGTGATTTCTGTATTTAAAAGTCATAAAATAATAATAAAAAACTATTTTAAGGTCGCTCCATAGGGGTTTTGCATTATACTACACTTTTGTATTCAGAAAACTCCTGTTTCTTCACTTTACATTACATGAAGACGAAATTTATTGGACGCATTAACAATGCTCTCCTGAACATTGCAATTAACTACTTTTGCACTGAAAGTCCGTTAACATGGTAACAGTGTGATTTGGATAATTAAGGTCAAGTTTTGTCTTTTTTCGGCCAAAATTTTAAAATTTGCAGAAAAGATCAGTTCTCGTATAATGATTTTTTTCTTCAATTTAAAAAGATTTTATGGAACGTTTCTTAGATTATTCCCTTCAATAAAATTTTAAGGGAAAAGGATATTGAGCTTGTTTGGCCGATATTAAGAAATGTGCAAAGTTTTAAAACAATTCAAAAATGATAACCATTTTTGTAAAATATACAGTCAATTTACATCCAATTTGTTAGCGAATTTGCTTTAGAAAACGCCAGAATTGCAGTCCTAGAGCTTCAAAAATGGAAATTTTTTTCTCCGGAAACATAGTATGACAGTGCAAGTCATTATTACAAGAAGCTTTATTATAATTATTACACTTTAGGTAAATATTTATTAATTAAAAATTCAAACTTCATGTAAAATCCTCTGACAAACCTCCCACCCAACTTCAGATGCTTTGCTATGTTCCTGTAGACTGACGTGTACAATAGTCGAAAAACTAAAAAAAATTCCCGAACGGATTTTTAAAATGGCCGAAAAAAGACAAATTTTGAGCCTTATCCTAGGCACGCTGTTGCCATGGTAACAGACGTTCTGCGTAAAAGTAGCACATTGTAATGGTTCAGGAGAGCATTGTCAATGTGTCCAATAAATTTCGTCTTCGTGTCATGTAAAGTGAAGAAACAGGCGTTTTCTGGATACAAAAGTGTAGTATAATGTAAAAACCCTATGGAGCCACCTTAAAATAGCTTTTTATTATTATTTTATGACTTTTAAACACAGAAATCACTCGTGGTCACTCGTAGTCACTCGTAGTCATTCGTGGTCACACGTGGTCACTCGTGATCACTCGTGGTCATTCGTGGTTGCTCGTGATCATTCGTGGTCACTCGTGTGTACTTTTAGACAAGATCCTAATCCATGGAGGAGTGTATTGTGCTAATCACCACAAAACGCAATGGTATATAATAACTTATTGCATTGTACTGAGACTAATATAGTTGCAAAATATTAAGTCGTGACTTATGTCGAAGTCGAGACTTCTTTCCATATTGGGCGAAGATGAAATGCCATGAATCGAATAGATGTTTTATTATATCGTACAAAAAAGTCTGTAACAAAATATTGTCTTTTGAACGACAATAATACAGCGACAACATCATATATCGGCGGATCGGAAAATTTGCTTAAATAACTAAACAAAAAGTTAATAAACTTATTTTTCATTTAAAAACAAGCGTGTATAAAAAAACTTAATTCCATGTAGCTTTGTATGTTTATTGAAAGTAATTTAACCTAATTTTACCAAAAAAAATCACAAGAGGCCCAGGCTCTATTGGCCTCGGCTCCTGTGAAAAAAAAGTATACAATTTTATACTAACCTCGCGACTGTCGCAAACAAAGAAATTTTGCATTTATAATTCTAAACAAAACTGTGATATAACGTTTCTTGTGCGTTTGAAATTAACAAAACAACTGAAATCTTTGATAACCAGGAAAAAAAGCCACGATAAGGAACCTTTCCAACATATCGTAACTAATATCGGGCATGCACGTGCATGAAGACCCGTGATTGGCCAATTGCATCATTTCCATGTGAGCGTGCATAATAATTATCTCGACCGTCGATGTTTCCCTCGGCTTCGGCTCGGGAACATCGACGGTCTCAGGTCCACAAAACACACTGTTTCCCTCGGTCTCAAATTAAAGAACAAATGAACGTAAATACATGAAATATTTTATTGTTAAAACGTTATACTAAAAACCCGCAGCACTACAGTTACTTAAAGCGAAAGTTTTAATTACGTACTAGGCATGTCCAAAGGTCGCATCTTCACGTGATGGCGCGCGTGATTTTTTTTTGTTATTCGCTGGTCGATAACGTATTATCTTCCTCTCGCGCTGTTGCGAGGGAGACAGCCTAATTTCGTCACTCTCACGTGATATGCTCTCAACCAATAAAGCACTAGAAAAATGCGACTTTGACTATTGATATATAATAATATATCTCAGTATTTTTGCACAAGTGAATATAAAATACAAGTCGATTGGTCAAATTTGACGTATTAAGCTTTTACATTCACCTATAGGTGAATAGGCCTATAACAAAACCGAAATTTGCAAAATTGCGGCCAGCTGTTTTGTCCAAGTTACTGATAAAGAAATATATGGGAATTAAAATAAACTCAGTGCAAAAAAAAACACAAAAGACTTATGTAAAAATACTAAGACAATTATTCGCTTCAGGCTCGGTGATTATCGGGGAATATTCACTTCCCTGTGAATATTCCCCGATATTTACCTAGCCTTCGGCGAATAATTATTAAATCTTCGGTGAGCAGGGGACAATAGTAGGTTGTATTGGATATAGCGTAGTCCATGCGCAGGGAATGCATGCAGTGCAGTCCGGAACGCGATCACTGCTCAGCGCATAGTCTCTTGTTTTCTGCGATGTACATATAGTAGCCAATATGATCATTATCTTTCATTTGCACTTATATGTTATATATATTTTATATAGGTCATATCAGTGTTTAGTATCTACGGGTGTGGAAAATGTGTTCCCACGTGTCATTCCTCATTTAAGACAGGGATACCTTCAAAGTTATATTCATTCCGAATGACAATCATCCAGACATCAGGTAGGGGTTTCATTCCAAAAAGCGTTGTTCAAAATGAAAAATAGTTATTAAGAATAAAACAAATTACAGAAGAGCAGCAAAATCATCCACCAATCACCAATTTGGCAATATATAGGCCTATATTCTACAAATTTATCCCAACAATTCCGGCGAAGGTTTACATTTTAGTAAATATATTATTTAATCAATGTCTTGTTGTCACCAAAACTTCTTTAATTATAAAATTCATGAGAATAGACCTTATGCATAATGACGTCACAAGGCTTGATGTCCGCGATGAATGCTGGTCTTAGTAGTCATCGCCCGGGAAAATTTCGATACTGGCCATTTTGAGTTGTTTAATTTTCCCGGGCGATGAATAGCAAAACCAGAATTCCTCGCGGGGCATCAAGCCTTGTGTCGTCATTATGCATAAGGTCTATTGACTCGCAATTTTAGATGCATAATATACCCAGGTGATCTGACGGTAAACAAAAGGACTGGGACTAGCAACAGAATAGAAATCCAGTTTAGTGCCTTTAATCACTTGTCACGCCCTGATTCGTTTGTGAAACTATTTGAAACTGTCTGTCTGTGTCCTGCACAGGGAAATAGATATCTGGGACAAATTTGAGATAGAAATCTAATACCATTAATGAGATATTGAGTAATTTTAAACCAGAAATGGATTTCTATTTTACAACTAGTGCCAGGCCTTTTCCGAGTTCCGAGATCACCTGGACTGTAGCAGGCTCAATCATCGGTTTACCTGCAAATCAAATGAGCGCATAGTGAAAACCGGTTTGAGCCGGTTTCTTGGGAGAAACCAGGCTCTTCTCGCAGGGAATGTAAATTGAATCTAAAAGCTGATTTACATTACACGAATTGTACGGGTACCCAAAAACGGTACGAATGACCTATTTACTTTTATTTTCTTATAAATTCTTTGCATTTATAATTCTTGGCATTATAAGTATAATTTGGTTTTGTAAAAACAGTTCTTGAAACTGCACTGTCGCTTTGTTTTTGTTAAACGTAAAACCTCATAAGAAAGGGTGGAATTTTATGCGAAAAACCTTTTAAAAGTATGGTAAAATATCAAGCATACTTAATTAAACGTAAATTCAATGTTATATATTGATCAAATTGTAAAGGACATATCATAACGAGAATTTAGTTCATTTGGCGTATTTATTTTAAATCAAATTTATTATGGTACTTTTTCATTCAGAAATACATCGTTCCATCAAGCAAACCGATAATTTGGTGAAAGGTGTAGTTGTTGGGGCGGTTGTTCTCGCAATAACAATTTTCTCCGCTGTGATTATAATTTTTTGCAAAAAGAAACGTGGTAAGAAATTAAATATTTATCCAGTGAAGAATTATTGTGACACTTTATGTCAATTATTTAGGGATACATAAACATAAATAATTCTCGGTACACGACTAATAAACATACGTCCGAACATTAACGGTTCAATTGATGCTTCGTTATTCATGCGTCCATGGCATCAAGTTTATTGCAAGTTAATTGCATGTTGATTACGTGTTAATAACGGATATCTGATAAACAAAAGATGAGAGAAAAGTCTATGACTTGAGTCATACTTAACAGAGTTTTTTCGTTTATGATAATTGTTTATCATAAACTCAGAAACGCAAGGGTGTGGTGACCAAGCGAGTTGTTTCAATATATCTCATTACTAACTGTAATGGGGAAAGAGCATACACCCAAATCTTCCTTTGGCATCGGCTCTGTTATTTAGAATAGTTCTATTCAAGTTCTTATGGAAAACTGCTTGTTACGGCCTGAGATACAAATAAATCTTATATACTTGAAATCAAGAGGTTTTGCCGTTGCATGCTGGTGCTTACCATGTCTTTGACTGCTAGAAAACATGTACTCATTTATTTTGATAGTTGTTTAAAATAATGTAATTGTAACTTGATTCCATAATCGCTGTGATCTGGAAAACCTGAGGCGAACTCCCTAGCGACACATTTTTGTATACCTAGATTTTTCCAAGTGTCGTTAAAACATATTGTATTGGCTCTATTTGGCGCAACGTTACATATAAGGCACTGTCTATATTTACTTAGCATATTTCGTAGATTGAATTTTAATTTTCTTCTGCGGATAAGTACCCCAAAATAATTTCTTAATTTAATCACTTCTTATTTTCATTTTCAAATAACAGCAGACGAGAATAGTAAAGAACCTGATACAATTCCGAAGGAAAGACCAGGTATTATATTAATTAACATTCAATTTAACGCCTTAATGACAGACGTAACCTTTTGGTCGCCGCCTGAGTTTCGCCAGTCAGTAACGGATCCTGAGCAAAGATGACGTGGTCGTCGTCAAAGTTTGAGGTTCTTGTCTGATTTTTATGGATTCTAAGCACGTCGCTGTAGATACGAAATATTTGAACGACTCAGAAATGTCGTGTTTACTTTTTGTACTCGTGTATGAATGTTTAGTGAACTGTAACCAAATATTAATGGTGCCAGAGCTTGGCACCTCAGATTCGCAATCTGTATACCATTTTCAGTTCAGACCGGGACCCAAAATTATACAACTGCAAGCAAATTATGACTACAATATTTAAGAATACTTCAGCGCATGGTATAGCATGATATAACATTTTTTTCGGAATTCGTCAACTCGAGCCCCCACATCCTCGTACCCAGGGTCTTTTTGGGAAAGACCCTGGTATTGTCTGGTCACGCGACTCTTCAAAAATTAGTTCTTCGCTCACTTCCCCGGTGACAAAACGCTACTTAGTTACCCACCCTAATAGAAATTCATTGTTACCTCCCAGATTCTGGGAGACACATGACGAGGCAATGCCAGGGTATTTTCTCAGCAGGTGGCCGGTCACCGAGCATAAGATAAAATAGCCTGGGTACGGGGTTGGAACCGCCATCTTTTTTTTTATTAGACAGATCTATTTTGTCTCACCATATGTTGACGTGACCGATCAGCGTAATAGTACATAAATCTTTTATTCTTCATCTAATTCCGCATACAATACATGCAATTTGGCTTTCTCTATATCAAATTATCTTTTTAGAAGACTAGTTTGTTCCTTTCTTCCATCTCCATGTTGGAGTATAACTACCTGTACATATGGCGTTATATCCGAAACTAAATTTCTTAATTTAAAGGACACATTAAATATTGTAATTTGTTATGTCTGTTTAATATGCAACTGAGCTAGCATAAGTTTTGGAACATGATCTAACATTTGATATTTGTCCGAAAGCTAAACAAGCCTCAAGCAACGCAATGATATTTAATTTGATCGATGTGTCGCTGGTATGAGATCAAAATCACACGCACTGTATAGCCCAGGCTTTCACATTGATTGTCTACCTTTATTTCAGTAACGGAAGTTTTCATCGCTCATGGCAGTCATTGCAAAGATTGTGAAGATGCCGTGCTCTCTGTGGCTACATATCTTAACATGACAGGTCATTGCAAATGTTTCCTTGATTTATGTTCACTACCAAAGGAATGGTCACCAGGCATGACTCAATATTATGAAAATCAAATTGCGAAATGCCAAAAAGTTATCGTCCTTTTCACCGTAAACGAAATTCACGAATTGGAAGAAAACGTAAAAGGTAAGGAAGGTGCTCGACCAGTACAGACATTCCTCTTTTATAAAAGGTTCCTCTTTTCTAACCAAAAGAGAAAATAGTCTGTTCCCGAGGGATATAGTTAGTTTTGTTCTCCCGAGAGTTTTAATTTTTCCTGAGACGAAATCGAGGCAAAGATTGAGATTCGAGGAAAAACAAAACAAAGTATTTCCCTATAGGAAACAGATATTAAGTGTTTTGTTATATAGTGACGAAGAAAAATAAACAACATTCACATGACAATTATATCTCATGAATAGAACTCTTTATTGGAAACCATTTTGACAATAGAAGAATCTGCTAAAAGTTTTCACTTTAAGCATCATTTCCCATTGCCTGTTGAGTATATTTCGTCTCTGTTTCATACTGTATTCTTTTCGTGAACTGGAAAAACGTTCTTTCTAAACTTTTGCCTCCATTCTGAGCATTTATGCGCGTATCCAACAATTTTTCACTTTTGCTTGGTGGGATACGTTGCATTTATTTAAATCACGTCACCACAAATCAGCCAATCATATTTATAATAGTTTTGTTTGTGAAAACACCACGTAAATTTATTGCTGCAAAGCTTTCGATCCGTAAGCCGGGATCTTCGTCAGTGCTAATGATATGACATAATATGACATATTATTAGCACTGATGAAGATCCGGGCTTACGGTTCGAAAGCTTTGCAGTAATAAATTTACGTGGTATTTCCACAAACAAAACTATTATATGTTTTTTCGCCATGTAAACATGCAAAGAACCAATCATATTTAGTTTAAGCACTAGCTATATATATATATATATATATATATATATATATATATATATATATATATATATATATATATATATATATATATAACACAGAGCGCTTATCCAACGGTCACATTTAAGCCACTTCGGCTCAGCGCAGAAGGAACACTTTAATCAGTTGTACTGATATAATGCATATAGAAGAATGAACCTTCTATTCTTAAGGTTGTTGAGACAATCTGTCGTGTACTAATTAACTAGACTATTGGTGAAGATCCGAATGTTTTCGTTGAACTGTTTCATTCTTTATTCATTCAACACCTTAAGATATTACGTGCATGAATACATGGTAATCAATAGACCAAATGTTGTTGATTTAAAATCAGTAATAAAACAAGTACTGGTGTGAGACATTGTTTGTTAATGTTATAATTATCAGATGAGAAAACCACATCTGACAGTAATTAACCAATCTTGGCTCCGATTCCATGTGGTGAATATATATGTTAAAAAACTAGGAAGTTGGTATATTTAACCAATCTTGGCTCCGATTCCATGTGGTGAATATATATGTTAAAAAACTAGGAAGTTGGTATATATATATATATATATATATATATATATATATATATATATATATATATATATATATATATATATATATATATATATATATATATATATGTATGTATAAGAGAAGAGAGTATTGGAGATTAGTCTAGGACCTGTATATGAGTTTGGATGCGTTTCATTTAGCACAGGTAATCTCAACTATTTTAGGGTAAAATGACCATGGCGGTCAACATGGCATATGTGCCAAAACCTGAATCCGGGACGAAAGTCCTGTAAATGACCCCGCCCTGAAAGGGCAGTGTCGACATAGCTCTAACTTCAGAAAACAAAAAGCGATAGTCTTTCTGAAGTGCTTATAGTGTTTAAAAGGGTTGCTTTTAGGGGTGGTCATTGGAAGAAAAAATTTGTCTAAGTAAATATTTTACAAGAAAATGACCATGCACCACCACAGGTAAATTGCTAATTATGCATAAAATAACTAATATGCCTGGCAGAAATTAAATATTCTTATTTCCTAAAAAAAATTTATCATGGGGTAAAAAACTATGCTTAATTTAATATAAATATTGTTGATATCATCAGGATTGTCATTGTTTTCTTTAAATATAATACATTATATTTCATTTACCCCCCACGAAAACACGATTTCAGCCATATTTTGCCGTCTTGTTTGCTTTTTATCGCCGAATCTCGCAAATATCATCTAGTTATTGTACTTTTACATAATCATAAATGGCTGAAAAAGATTTCAAAGAAGGTTTCATCCATTTTAGAAACAGTGCAGTGTATTTTATCTTCGATATTGTGTCCTTTGATATTTCGTCGAATTGCCGCCATTTTAATGGCTCGCCGCTTCTCTGCACGATAAATACCACTTCTTCGTTTTCATATGTATTTAGATTACATTATCCAGGAGTAGTTCATTGTAGAATAGTCCCAATCCAAAAATTGGAAATATTATTTATATTTGGGGGGAAAAAACCTCCCATAATAGTTGTCCTGACAGAATTCAAAAGAAGTAATTTAAAAGTCACGCGCAAGTTCGCGAAAACACCTCGTGGGTTACATAACAGGGGGGGTGAATATTTTCACGAAACGTTTGTTCGCCACCACAGGCCACAGCAACCTAACTAAGTACATTATATTTATTGTATATTTGTGATTATAATAAAAGCAACAAATATTTGCGTATTTTTATCATCAATTATAAAAATACAAAAAATATAATACATTTAGTTAGGTTGCTGTGGTGGCGAACAAACGTTTCGTGAAAATATTTTCCCCCCTGTTATATAACCCACGAGGTGTTTTCGCGAACTTGCCCGTGACTTTTAAATTATATTTTACTTCTTTTGAATTCTGACAGGACAACTATTATGGGAGGTTTTTTCCTCCCAAATACAAATAATATTTCCAATTTTTGGATTGGGACTATTCTACAATGAAGTATATATATATACTCCTGGATAATGTAATGTAAATACATATGAAAACGAAGAAGTGGCATTTATCGGGCAGAGAAGCGGCGAGCCATTAAAATGGCGGCAATTTGACGAAATATCGAAGGACACAATATCGAAGATAAAATACACTGCACTGTTTCTAAAATGGATGAAACCTTCTTTGAAATCTTCTTCAGCCATTTATGATTATGTAAAAGTACAATAACTGGATGATATTTGCGAGATTCGGCGATAAAAAGCAAACAAGACGGCAAAATATGGCTGAAATCGTGTTTTCGTGGGGGGTAAATGAAATATAATGTATTATATTTAAAGAAAACAATGACAATCCTGATGATATCAACAATATTTATATTAAATTAAGCATAGTTTTTCACCCCATGATAATTTTTTTTAGGAAATAAGAATATTTAATTTCTGCCAGGCATATTAGTTATTTTATGCATAATTAGCAATTTACCTGGGGTGGTGCATGGTCATTTTCTTGTAAAATATTTACTTAGACAAATTTTTTCTTCCAATGACCACCCCTAAAAGCAACCCTTTTAAACACTATAAGCACTTCAGAAAGACTATCGCTTTTTGTTTTTTGAAGTTAGAGCTATGTCGACACTGCCCTTTCAGGGCGGGGTTATTTTCAGCACTTTCGTCCCGGATTCAGGTTTTGGCACATATGCCATGTTGACCGCCATGGTCATTTTACCCTAAAACAGTTGAGATTACCTGTGCTAAATGAAACGCATACAAACTCATATACAGGTCCTAGAGTAGATAGTATGATAGAAGATACAGTCATGAGAAATGAACAAGTTTAAGAAAAGTAAGAAAATAGGAAAGGATAAAAGGAAGGTGGAAGATTCTGCAAATGATTTAATTATTTGTCCAGTATATTACTTAAAATTTTAAGTTATCGCACCAAATATTTTGTCATGACGGACAGTATGTGCATGTTTTGAATGAATATAGGCTATGCGTTAGTCAGAGTGGAGTTTAATTTATTTGGTACACTGTATACATGATCAGGTAACGTGTGCTTGATTGTTTCCTAAGAAATACTTTCTTATTTTCAGTACGGAACTTTAAATACCAAAAGAACCTAATTCGTTCAGAACTCTTTGCAAATTGTCCATCAACAAAGTTCATCCCAGTTTACATGGATTTCTTATCCGATCTCGATGTTCCCTCTTTCCTGAGAAACAAGAAATCTTTCTCATTGCCATCACAGTTAACAGAGCTTATACTATACATTATTGGAGAACCAGTATGCAAGCCAGTATCCGTCTGTCCAATGCTGTCAATTGAAGAAGACAGTAGTTTGATGAAACACAAGAAAATCTTGGAAGGCAAGATCAAAGATTTGAACGTAAAACATCAGAAGAAGTTGAAAATTAAGAATAACAACACGCTTGCAAAGGTACAGCAAATACATTAGTGTACTAAAAATACATGTACATCACCCCAAAAAACTAAACCACCGCCTTTTAAGTACTGTTTAATTACTAAACGAGTAGGAGTGTTTTATTAGGTTTAAAGTCCTAATTATTAGACCTAATAAAACACGACCTGCGAGTTACGTTTATTAAACGGCTGCAACCACGACTACAAATTCATTAGATATACCGCTTTATTATAGTATTCTTTATATAAAGAATATTAATGAGGACACGACTACAATAGATACTGCCTAATTATTAGTATTCTTTATATAAAGAATACTAATTAGGAGTGTTTTACCATGTTTAAAGCCACTGCATGTGACATATTATGGTTGATATGATTTGTCAATAAGCTTATGAATTATTAATGAGTGTTTGAAGAATAAATAGTCCAAATTTTATCTTGGCTGTGCGCATTATATTGTTCTAATACGTTAACAATATATACGCATTATTTGGTGATCAAACAGTCGACGGCATAACCTCGTACCCTGGTCTTTTGCTTTTGAGCCCTGAGGACGAAGTTTTCGACCGCAATGTTCACATTAAAGAGATAACGTCTCCTTGACATTCAGTGCTTAATGACTGGGACCGAGGGAGGCAGTATGTTTTGTGGACCCAGCAGAGGGTTCACAAAACGTACTGTTTCCCGAAGGTTCCACTCAATCAAAGAAAACAAAAAAAGCTCCAAAACAGAAAGATTATATTATTGATTAGTCACACGGCATTGGCTTTAGATTGACGGGAAGGATTTGGTTGTGGACACATTATTAAATGGTGGATAAAAGGAGGCAAAATAATGTCCACCGCGGCATGTTGCTGTGAGGCAGTCGAATTTCATGACTTTGACATGATACGTTTTCGTCCACCATAGTCTGTCAAGATATGGTGGTCTGGAAGCCCGGCCTACTTCAGGCCGCAAAATAGAAGACCTTTGTTTGATATGGGGCTTCGGTGGCGCAGTTGGCAGAGCAAGCTCCTTTGAGTTCGTGGGTTCGATTATCGCTACGGACTCATGTGAAAAGAGTTAGTCAACGCTCTGCCGAAAGTCGTGGGTTTTCTCCGGGTGCTCCGGTTTCTCCCACAGAGAAAGTTGACAGGGTGGGTTAGGACAAACACAGTTAAGAAAGTAAGATCACAATTGTTGTAAAGATAAAATAATCTAGGCTAAGTATGTAATTATGTAAGAAATATATGTACTTGCATTGTGTAAAATTAATTAGTAATCATTTTAATCTTTTTGTTATTTATGTTTATAGATCGTATGATAAAATTGTCCATCAAAGCTTCGATCAGATCAAGAGTTATCTACGTGGTTGTATAATACTTCTGTTTTGGCGAGCACGGTCAGATTGTATATATATATATATATATATATATATATATATATATATATATATATATATATATATATATATATATATATATATATATATATATATATATACATATATATATATATATATATACCGTATATATATATAGTCGTATATTTTTTGTAAAGCATAACAGCCTCATGATTGGTATTTGTGAGGGTCCTGAAGGGTCCCAATCCCATTTCCCACCTGAAATTTTGGCAAAATCCCAGTCCCAGTTGGATTTTTATTAGAAATCCCAGTCCCAGTTATTGAAATCCCAGTCAATAAAAACCCCTTTATTTATCGGTACAATAAACAGTTTTAAGACCTTTTAAGCAAGTGGCGCACACTTTATGAAATATTAAGGGGGGAGCTCGTGCCGAAAGCACGGAAAATTTTTAAATTTGAATCCCGGAAATGGTATTTGCAGCATTCTGAGACACGCATAATCAGAAAGCCCAGAATTCCGGGCGCCAGAGTATGCCTGTTCGCAGGTAGTGCTGTGAATAATATAGTTAACAACAAAAATCATGACCAAATACACCAAAAACGGATCAAAATTGTATTTTAAAATACTCAAAATGCAGAAAAATTGGGAATCCCATTCTCATTTTTGAGGACTTCATTTCCCATTCCCAGTGGCCAAATCCCAGTCCCAGCAACTCAAATCCCATTTTCCCAGTCTAAAAATAGATCAATCCCAGTTCCCATTTTACCCCTTCAGGGCCCTCATTTGTGGAAGATGGAAAACTAATTACGATCTCAATTATTCATGTAAATTTTTACTTATTTAGCTACTTGTACTTTTTCATACGCTGTAAATACACGTAAAAGTAATAAACAAATTCTGCGTTTAAAAGCTGTTCTTTTGCACAAAAAAAAGTCGAGACGAGACTCGATAACGAGAGACGGGAAACGGGAATAAACGGGGGAAAACAAGCGAAAGCTGCTTTGCTTTACAAGCCAAATTCAGACTTTAACGACTTATTTCTTGTTGCTTATTTCGATTTATAACGATTTTTGTGTGTATTTTAAGATTTTGTTCCCACAGCGAAAGCTATAAACGAGTATATTATAAAAACGACCGGTTTAGTTTCTCCCTTTTTTTGTGTGGAAAATGTGATAATATGACAACGTAGCGATGGTGTTTTTCCAGAAGCGAAAAAGTATTTTCCTGAGATTTTAACGTCAATTTATATTAATAGATTATTCCGTGAAAAATGAAGACAACTATGGAACGAAAGTTTATTTTATAATTTGACATTAATATGAAAAAAAAACACGAGGTCAAAAATCACAAGAAAACGTCAAATATGTTATTGATTCGCATGGAGAAATATGAACTGTGCCTGTGGCTCGAAGACATTCGATCTGCAAGCAGCTTACATGTTTAAAAAAATGAAAGCTACATTTCCTGAGTACACGTGAATTGTTACTCTTATTTCTTCAACAATAGTTTCGTATATTTCTTACGATTTTGGTTTTGTAGTCTGTAGACGTTTTGTAGCCTTGTTGTTTGTCTGTTTTGGCCATACAAACTTACCCTGGATTCCAGAGCCTTCGACAGTAAATAATAAATTGAAACGTCGCGAAGGCTCTGGTTCAACGGGGGAGATTCTTTGATTAAACCGCGCCAATCACAAACCAGAATTAGTGGTTTTAGTACAGAATCTGTACTAAAACCACTAATTCTGTTTTGTGATTGGCGCGGTTTAATCAAAGAATCTCCCCGTTGAACCATAGTTAATAGAGGAGATGGTTTGGAAACTCGTTAGTATTACAATAAAATCACGATAAACCTCATTAGCTATGTTGTTCAGGTTTATGCAAAAATGTGGTCTTTCATCGTCACGTGCGTATTGTATTTTTCTCAAGTCAACCAATAGGAATGTTCAAAATGTCCTATTGTTAAAGTCATAGATGGGCAATTGGACAAAACCGTTGCTATTGGCTGGTTGAGCAAAAATACAATACGCACGTGACGATAAAGACCACATTTTTGCATAAACCTGAACAAAAACATAGATAGTGAGGTTTATTGTAATGCTAATGAGTTTCCAAACCATCTCCTCTATTAACTATGGTTGAACCATTATCCCATACCTGTGTTAAAAGCGGCTTTCTGATTGGTTTAGAGCAGGTGAGCTTGTGGTCGAGCTCACCTGCTTTTGCCGAACTCACATGCTTTTCGCCCGAACTCACCCGCTAAACTGCTTACGTTGCAATAACAATAACAAATATGGCGGACAAGATTTAGGCGATAAACCTAAACTTTAAAGAACTTTTTTCGGTGACTAACATACTGAGACTAAAGAAAAACCAAAGAAAAAATGCAGTAAAGGTAATGTAGACGTAGATAAAGAAGTATTTTCTTGCCCAGTGATTTTTTTGGCAGGGAAAATGTTCACAAAACATCGACGAATATATCGCGAAGAGCTACAAATGTGTGTATGGCTCGATGTATGGGATAAAAACCAAACGTACTTGCAGGTTCGGTGAGTCCGGGATTGGACGCACCTCGGGTGGCTGGAAGTTTCCCGAACTCACCTCGCTTCGCTCGGTAAGTTCGGGAAACTTCCAGCCACCCTCGGTGCGTCCAATCCCGGACTCACCTCCATGCAAGTACGTTTGTTATAGAGCCTTCGCGACGTTTCAATTTATTATTTACTGTCGAAGGCTCTGGAATCCAGGGTAATACAAACTATGCAACAAAATAAAGATTTCCTTTTCCGATTACAGACCCGAGCATCTTTTATGGTCTTTAGCTACGTTAACGTTAAATATCATGTTATATATTTCCTCAGGATTATTTCAACTTTCATACTGAGTTTTATAGATAATATTTTCGAAAAAATCTTTCATTTCTTAGTCAATATTTTTATCACTGCTGCAATAGCAAGTAACTTTGTTTCGTTGCGTCTTTTAAGGAAGAGCGAATGAATGTTCAAAAAAATATACCTAAGAAAATTCCTTAGCCCAATACACTGATGTTGTAATTAAAAACCTTAAAGGATGGCGTACACGAGAGTCTATCTGCTGAGCTGACCTGAGCGTCACACTCGTGATTATTTGCGTAAGCAAATTTCCCCAATGGGCGGGGGCGTTTTCAGTGGTTTCACCACGCGGTGCCGTTGTACCCCATTTGTACCCCGTTGTACCCCAAAATTCACAGAATTTATCCCATTTACTTTTATTACAAACCAAAATTGCCCGACTGTTCATCTAATATTGCCCGACTGCCCCGCCCCCCCCCCCCCCCCCGCCCGGTACACCTATGTACCCCATGGAATTTAACATTACGTACTAATTAGTCCCCGAGCAGACGGCGCGAGGCGCCGTGCGAGGGTACTAATTCCCCCCGGCTATTTACACCCGGGGAAACGAAAGCATTAGCGAAGTCTAAAGTTCATCAAATATCGCGGGCGTGGGTCACCAACCGTGGGTGGTCATCCTCACTGATGTCAAAAATATGGCGGACTGTCATGAATAGCAAACACTGTGATTGGTCCAATTTAAAGTTTGCATTATAACGACTGCATGACGACAGCGAAATAGCAAACATTTCTTTATTTGATGATTGATAAATTTCTTGCAAATATATTTCATTTTTGCTCGCATTTTTGCAAGCATTTTTGCAAGATTTTGTAAATTTCAAGAAAGAAATGGCGAAAAAATCGGCTAAAAGAAGGGAGCCGACGTTAACGAAGGTAAGTTTGTTTTAAATATTGATTTTATAATTACTTTAAAACCCGACGGCCTTTGCGTATATGAAACAACTAAACAAGACAGCATATCGGGCCCCATATCAGTGTTCTTTAATCATTGATTCCTTTTTTTATTATATTGAATATTTTTTAAATAAAAAATAAAGCAAAGTTATTTGCATGCTAGAATTTGAAATCATTTTATTGCAAACTTAAAGTTTATCGATAAAGCCATTTAATTAAAGAATAAAGGCAGTTTAGTTTTATAAAGAACACTTTAAAACGTTTTGCGAAGCGTTTGTGGTTGAATTTTACCTTAAATTGAAGCTTATATTACGTATAATATCATACCTAACATTAAAAGTGATATTTTTGAGCGATTTTTCATTTGTAAGAATATTCTTAAAAAAATATCGTGTTACTATGGCAACTACTTTAGATACTTCATGTTCGGAAAATACAATGGTTTTGTCAGCAAGGCGAGGGTTTCTGCATGCATGTATTTTCTAGTAATAGACCGGAAATACGTCACATGGCGTGAGATTAGGAAAATAGTACTGCGTAGAAAAAGATAGAGATTAATAGTTGTAAGATTCGATGTTTATACCGTTAAAATGTGAGTTTTAAATAATAATAAAGTTATAATAGTTTTGTTTGTGGAAACACCACGTAAATCCACTAAAAAAGAAACCCGTAAAAATTTTGATGAAACTTCATTCAAGCATGACATTGATGCTATTCCTTTGCAGTACATAGTTTCCTTAGATGATCCTATAAATGCTTGGCAAATTTGGAAAAAACTATTTCTTGATGTTGCTGATAAGCATGCTCCAGTCAAACAAAGAAGAATAAGGAAAAATTGTGCCCCATGGCTCTCTGTAGATATTAAGAAATTAATATGGGAACGAGATCGATTGAAGCGTAAAGCAGTTTATACTAATGATGAAAATGATTGGGTCAATTTCAAAACAGCTAAAAATCTAGTTAACTATAAAATTAGAGATAGTAAAAAGCAATATTATAATTCTCTGTTTCAACTCAACGTAGGTCGAACTAAAAAAACTTGGAATGGTATCAACAGTCTTCTTTCTAAATCTAAAAATTCAACTACTATACCAAAAATCTTGCAAGATGAAATCGAAATTACTGACCCAGTAACTATTAGCAATGTTTTTAATAAGCACTTCACTGAAATCGGACCTAAATTAGCAGCACAAATTCCAACAACTGGTGCGGCCTCTTCTAACATTCCGCAATGTAATGAAGTTTTTGAATTACATGAAGTTACTCCATCTCAAATAGATGGACTAATTTATAAATTATCGACTTCTAAGGCTAGCGGTCTTGATAGCATTCTTGTTCGTTTATTAAAACTAATTAATTTCACTACTGTGGTTTCACTTACTCACATTATTAATCTAGTAATTCGCAAGGGAATTATTCCCGCTGACTGGAAGTGTGCCAGGGTATCAGCAATTTATAAACATGATTCAAAACTAGATTTGAATAATTATAGGCCTATTTCAGTCCTTCCAGTAGTTTCAAAAATTTTTGAAAAAGTTGTCTTTGACCAAGCATATACCTTTTTAAACAAAAACAACCTTTTATCTGACATACAGTCAGGATTTAGACCTCTTCACTCAACGTTAACAGCTATGCTTGATGTCACTGATAAATGGTACACTAACATGGACAGTGGGTTAATAAATGCTGTCTTATTCATTGATTTAAAAAAGGCTTTTGATACCATTGATCATAACATTTTACTACAGAAGTTAACTTGTTGCGGTTTCAACAAAGAAGCGATTGATCTTTTTAGAAACTATCTTTCTGATCGTACTCAAATAACAGTTATTAACAACATACGATCTGATACTCGTAAAGTAACATGTGGAGTTCCTCAGGGGTCTATCTTAGGTCCACTACTGTTTTTAATATATATAAACGACCTTCCTAATAGTGAATTGGTATCAGATGGGCGTTTATTCGCTGATGGTACCAACTTGACTTTTGCGGACAGCAATCCTGACAAGTTGATTTCTGTTCTAAATGACGACCTTAAAACTCTCCAAAACTGGCTTAACCTGAATAAACTAAGCCTGAATGCAATTAAAACTAAATGTATGTTTATGGCATCCAGGCAAAAATTAA